ACTTTTCAGTGGGTTAATGCCCAAGATTCAGTCACCTTCCAAAAGCCCACTCTGAACACATGAGACTTTTGGGGGACACTTTAGATCCAAAACGTAATAGCCTATCAGCCTCTTCTACTCTTCTCTACTTCCTGGCCACCATGAGATGATCAGGCCTCCTGTACCACAGGTACCTGCCATCATGTACTGATGTTTTTTAAATTTTTTTTTTTTGGTACTGGGGATCGAACTCACGACCGCCTGCTTGCAAGGCAGGTTCTTATGCTGCTGAGCTAAATCCCCAGCCCCTTCATGTACTGATGTTAAACAGGCCCAGCATAACAGGGCCAACTAATCATGGAAGCAAACTCCGAAACTGGAGCCAAATTAAACATTTCCTCCTTTTAAATTAACTAGCTCAAGTATTTTGTCACAGTGATAGACAGCTGATAAACACACAGTTCAGTGTTAGCTTCTATTATTAGCAATAGCATTATTTTCTTTCTAGTTCTACAGCTTTGTTATCTTTACTTTTTGATAAATTCTACTAGGATTTGTATATTTTCATTCTCCAGTTTAATTTCTGTTCCTTCGTAGATTTTATTTCTGTGGCCAATTAACGAGACTACTAGAGGGGTTTTTTGTTTGTTTTATTTTTTGTACTGGTGATCAAACTCTCAACCTCATGCATGCCAAGCAGGTACTTGTGCTGCTGAGCTAAATCCCCAGCTCCTGGACTACCAGATTTTTAAATACACATGAGGTTTGCCCTTATTTTTGTTCCCCATGACCTAGCGTAAGCCCTAATACATATTTTGCTATTTGATAATTCAAGTAATCTTTGTACCTATCTATCTCCCTACAAGACTCCTTCATTTTTTGAAGGCAAGGATTTCATTGGTACTCTTTGCATACTAAACTGTCAAAGTCTCTCAGTCAACAAATGCTGAATAAACATTGACCTGTTCTGGGTATGTGGCATACATATATAAGTCCAGCACTTGGGAAAGTCAGGCAGGAAGATCACTGCAAGTTCAGGACCAGCATGGGCTAACAGCAAAACCTAGTCTCAAAGAAAAAAAAAAAAAAAAAAAAAAAAAAAAAAAAAATATATATATATATATATATATATATACACACACACACAACATATATAATAAATGCTCATATAATATATACAATAAACATTCATGTTATAATTTATTATACAGTAAATGCTCACATAATTTAGAAGTTCAAAGAAAGCACTAACTAGGCATAACTATTGATTTCAAGGTTCAGGAAGTACCCTCAGAACTTGGGTCCTTTCCATCCCTAGACTCTGTTTTCTACTAGCAAGCTCACTTTTTGTTTGTTTTTATGAGATACAGTCTTGCTAAATTGACTAGAACTTTCAATCTTCCTGCCTCAACTTCCCAAATAGCCATGAAGACAGGTATGTACTAACTCGCTCAACTTAGGCTCACATTCTAGTTTCTCAGCAATTCCAGGGCTCAAAGAATGCAAGTTTCTCAATAGTTCAAACAATTCAGAATAAACACTCATGTGCTAAGAGGAAAATGTGCTCATCTCTGACAATCACTGTGGCCACAGCACTGGCCATTAGTTAGGTCTGGGTCATGTGCACACCGTATGAGAGATAGGACACACATGAGAGAGCTGGTTCCCTACAGAAACAGATATTTTTATCAGAGGAAAGGGGAATACAGAATGGACTAGCAAAATTAACCCAAGTCCCTATACTCTGATAGTATTCTGTATGCTGTCCATCACCATCTGGCTTCCTTTCTCATTTCTCCTCACCCAAATCAAGTTATCACCTTTGTGTCCCAAGCCTTCTGTGATTTCTTCTAAGATTTTCCCTGTCCACTGGATCAAGTCACCTGCTCTCAAATTAACATTTGCCACTTGCAGAAGAGCAACTTCTGAGAAACAAGAGACAAACCTCAAGAAAATGTTCCTGATAAAATCTAACCAGCAGTATGAGTAATGTATGTTGCTTCCTAGGACGTGAGCTCTTGAAGGCCAGCACTCTATAGTATACTACTACATATTACGGAAGAGCAGTGTGTGAGGCAATTTCAATGGCTTTAAAGAGCCTATGAACAGCATTTTAACTATCATAAATCTGAATTCATCAAATAGCTGCTGTAGAAGAAAGACTATGGCTTTTGGAATTAGCCTGGTTTGCCAGGCTACAATCGTGGCTAACAACCCATCCCTGCTCTTCACAAGTCTTCAAGCAAATTATTTCACACCCGTAAACTTGATTTCTCTATCTGTAAAAATAGGAAAAGTAATATTTATTTGCACATGATGAGGCTGCTTGACATAATGGAGAGAAGAGATTTAGATGAACCTGGGTTGAAATTCCACCACTAATACTAACTGTAAGACTTTGAGTTATTCTTTATATATGAGGGTAACAATATTTAATCCATAGATTCTTGTGTGTATAAGGATTTTTTTAAAATGTTATTTGAGATATGGTCTTGCTGTGTACTCCAGCAGGCTGGTCTTGAACTCATTATGTGGGTCAGGTTAGCCTCAAACTCACAGCCACTCTGCCTGTGCCTCTTGAGTGCTAAGCTTACAGGCATGCATCACCACACTTGCTGGCAAAGTATGTTAAAACACTTAAACAATAAATACAAACACTGAACACTCAATAAATGTCATCAGCATTATAAATTATCTGTTTAAAACAACTGAGGTTTTTGTTCTAATTATCAGGGTCTGCTAAAGAAATTTAAATTTAATAAATTTATTGAGGGAAGGAGAAGGAGAAGAAAAAAGAAATGAACCTAGTCTAAAGAATTATAAAATACCTTGTAATTATCCATTTTTCTTTTTTTGATAAAATATCAACAACACTTAAAGTGTGGGTAATAAATATATACAAATTCAGAGCACAGAAAAAAAACACTTGAAATTAGTAAATGTCCTTCATAAATACTCTTCAGTTTGTTAATATTTCTCAAAGCCTCAAAATGTTGCTCCTAGAACTACTTAACACTAGGTAAGATAATGAACTAGATACAGTCCTATAACTACTTGGTTTTTTAGCTTCAGGCTTAATGTAGTAACAGTCTAATGACTCACAGCAATATGAAATCACTATACCAGATAGCCATCTCCTACACACAATAAGGAAATCTGGTGTATGAATGGCAATTTCAGGTGCTGTCTATCAGGCACACATAAAAGGCAAGATGATATTCATCTATATCTTAGCAACAAAAATTTAATAGCATTCACTAAAAAAAATTATATTCAGTACAACTGTTTCCAAAGACAGATTAAATAAGGAGATATGTAATTTCTTCTACTTCACACTATATCAAAAGTCCCCCCCCCCGGCCTTTTAAGAAATGGTTTTGTTATGTAGCTCAGATTGGCCTTGAACTCACCATGTAGCCTGGGCTGGCATCAAGCTCCCAGTAATCCTCCTGCCTCAGCCTCCCAAGTGCTGAGATAACAAGTATGGGCTGCCACCCCTAGCCCAAAAGTTTCTTTAAATAGTTTTGTAAAGCATTTTAATTGTAGAGCCGAGCGTGGTGGCTCACACCTGTAATCCCAGCACTTGAGAGGCTGAGGCAGGAGGATTGTTGCAAGTTCGTGACCAGCCTGGGCTACAAAGTGAGCTCAAGGCCAGCCTGAACTGCATAGCAAGACCCTGTCTCAAAAAGACCAAAAAAAAAAAGTATTTTATTGTTCTGTTTTTCCAACATGAACAAGTCATTTGTAACAGTTATCAATCTTTAATGAGTGCAACATACATAGGGAATGTATTAACAGTTTTTTAAATAAAATGGGAACCAGGGACATAGCCCAGCTCAGCAGGAGAGTGCCCTGGCAAGCACAAAGTTGTGGGTTCGATTCCCAGTACCTCCTTCCAAAAGGAATGAATATAAAACACAAAGCACTGCCAGGCATGGTGGCACATACCTGTTATCCTAGCACTTGGGAGGCTGAGGCAGGAGGATAGCCTCAAGTTCAAGGCCAACCTGGGCTACATAGTAAGTTCAAAGCCAGCCTATACTACAAAGCAAGACACAAAGTACTGCGAATTTTCCTTCGTTGAAAAACACTACATAAAAATATTTACATGTGTAAGGGATTTTTTTCCGCTTTATATTTGTATAACACAAATACATTTCATTTCTGATCTTACTACCTGAAGAAGCTATATATAAATATATTTTTGTTTGTTGTTCCGGAAATTCAACTCACGACTGCAGGCTTGCCAAGCAGGTGCTGCACCACTGAGCTACATCTCTAGTCCAAACTGTATTTTAAACATAAGAGAAACTAGTACAGTATGTCAAATACCTCAATCAACAGATCCCTACAACTAAAAAAACCAAATAATACCTAATTCTTTATTCGCTTTCCTGTGTTAAACTAGTGCTTTAAAAGGAAAAAGCATATACAGATATAGTAGAAAATAATCTATTTTAAGGTGCTTTTCTTCTTTTCAACATTTTGCGAGGTTACAAGCAGTGAGAGAGGAGGGAAGGAACGACAACCTAAAGGTGGGCTCTGGTTATTTGACCATCCTTTAGGTAAGTCAACCAGAATGAAACGCATAGAGTCTGAACTCACATCACACGCGCGCGCGCTCGTACACACAAGCACGCTCACACATACACACAAACAGGCACACACACTTCGAATAACTTTTGAAAACAAAAATGCCCGTGCTGGGTTCGATCGTCCTGTGACAATGCTTGGCACAAACCTTCAGCTCTGACAGACAACCAAAGAGCTCGCTACATTCCCCAATTCCAAAGCCAGCCCTGCCCCCCGACCCCGGCAGCAGGGACCCAGGCGCCCCGTCCCGCTGGGCAGCAGGCTTTCAGGAGACCAAGGCCCCCTCAGCTCCGGTCCGCGGGAGGATGCTGCACGCCGCGCTGCGCCCCGCCTTTAGCTCCGGCGGCCGCAGGCCTGGGCTCGGACGACTGGGGCAAAGCCTTCCCACCCCGGGCACCGCCAGCGGCCCCGCCCCGCGCCCCGCTCACCCGCGCGGGTGGTGTCTGTCAGGTCGTGGTGGGCCGCTCCCCGGGGAAACTCCCTCAGCTTCCGGCCACTCAAGCTCAGCACCCCGGTCACTGCTGCCTCTTCCAGGGCTCGATCAAGGGAGCGGCTCCACGAGCCCGGGCCAGGACTAGGGCCTGCCCCGGCGTTTAGGCCGCCGTTAATAACAGAGAGATGCCCTGCCGACGCCACGGGGCCAGAGTACTCAGCCGTCGCGGCCACAGCTGCCAAGCCACCGGCCGCCATTTCCAGCTGCCGACTCTCCGGCCGCCGGTTTGGCGCATGCGCGGCTTGCAGTGGGAGTAGGCGGGGAAAGTGGCTCCTGGCCCAGCGGCCGCAGGAGAGACCCCCGGCGCAGCCCCGCCCACTCCACCCGCAGCCGCAGCCTGTAGGGTTCGGGGGAACTGTCCCTGTAGTACAGGCGCCAGTGCCCGGGAGCATTTTTCAAATGCCTCTACAAAAATATCTTCAATGGCACTCCTCGCCAAAAACCTGTTTTCTTCCCTCGGTAGTGCAGAATGCGATTAAGTTTCTCAGCACAATTGCTGCCAGATATTTAGGTAACTAGAGGAAATTCTGGGCTGCAACCTAGAATGATTCCTTGTTATTGCAGTGTCAGGTGATCTAAACTGAGGATGGTGAATTTACTAATTGTGCTTGAGGAAAAACATTACTAATTTGCCTCCAAGCGCCTAAATTATTATTATTATTTCCTTTTTTTGAGCCAGGGTCTTGCTATGCAGTCCAGGCTGGCCTGAGTTCCCTTTGTATACCAGGCTGGTCCTGAACTCCAATCCTCCTGCCTCAGCTTCCCGAGTGCTGGGATTTCAGGCATGCGCCCCCATGCCAGGCTTTTCAAACTTCCTTTTTTTTTTTTTTTTTTTTTTTTTGGTGTGGTACCGGGATGGAACTCAGGAGCTCGCCCTTGTCAGGCAGGCATGTATGCCCTGAGCTAAATCTCCAGCCCAAACCTTCCTAATTCTTATTGAAAGGATTATTTGAATATTTGAGACCCAGGGCTCCCACAACTCCAGATTTTCCTTTAGGCAAGACTTGATTGATGAACAGCACAGGATAAATAGTGTTAAAGTCTAAAATCTAGGTCTGGAACCAAAATTGAAAAAGAAAAAAATCTGAATGTGAGAATAAAAGGTAGAACCATAAGGTCAAAATAAAAATCATTCAAGTAATGGAAATACCACATCATTTTAAACCAATTAGACTTTATTGCATTTCTTTCCTGTTTTACACTAACATTCATCAATAGTCAACGAACTATATTTACTATGGAAAATACAAGCAGAGGCTGCCAGATACAGTCCTTATCCTAAAGGATTATAACCTGATTTTTCTGTAGAATCGAGACTGATAGTCCAATTAGAAAATAAAAATATGCCCAGCATACACCTGTAATCTCCGCACTTAGAGAACCACTGTGAGTTTGAGGCCAGCCTGAGCCACATAGTGAGTTTGAGGCCAGCCTGAAAGCCAAAAAGGGCTGGTACAAGCAGGGAGAGATTTTATCAGAGTTCAGAGAAAAAGAATCCATATCATGCATTACTGAGGTATTGGATCACAATCCCTCAGCAATGCCTGAAAAATTACACAGAATAGGATGAATGGTGACAGCAGCATTCCAGGTTGGAAGAAAGATCAGCAGAAACCCATCCAGGTATGATTTATGATGATATATATGGAGAACAGTAAGGTCTCAGATGGGAAAGTTCATGTTAGAGAGCAAAAGAAAATATAAAGGTGGAGAGCTCCCAGGCATCATTCAAGGTCCAACTCTTCCATGAAACCTTTATTAACACTTCTATCAATTCTTAAATGCCAGCGTTGTAGAAATGTTTAATCTCAGTGCCAAAGATGATTAGTAACAGCTACTCGAAGTATTGTTCAGTGAACTCTTAGTACTCCACCCTGATTCCTTCAGCTACAAAGTCTCAAGAAATTAAGACCTGCTGGTTAGTGGTGCATGTCCGTAATCCCAGCACTTAGGAGGCTGAGGCAGGAGGATTGCCATAAGTTCAGACCAGCCTGGGCTACAAAGCAAGACCCTGTCTCCGGAAGGAAGGAAGGAAAGAAGGAAGGAAGGAAGGGGGATTTGATGTTAAGACTTTGACTACAATGTCTATTCATATATCTGTATTAATAGTACAGTGGTATAGAATCAGCAACCAGATGTATCTCTAAAATGAGCTCACTGAAAAGGCAATTAGGAAAAATTGTTTGCCAGTATCATTATGTCACCTGTTACTTTCCACATTTACCCTAAATTCTTCTGACAAGTTCTCAGTAATGTGGCCTCATTTGTCTTGTCTATACACATAACCACTGTAACTGCAACATACAATGTTTATTCTGAACTGACCAATCTTATAGATATCAGTCTAGTAGACTAGATTTTAAGGTCCTATTATTAAAAGTCAATGCTACAATTATCTTCTATAACCTAAGGCTGGACTTTTTATGAAAAAATAAAAATTTCATAACAAAGTAAAAGAATAGTTAATACACTGTGTATCATCTCCGAAGTAGTTACTCAGAACACAAGACTGAAGTCTCACAAAAGAAACCCAGATAACAAGGAACTTTCCTTTTTGCAAACTAAGATAACTAGGGGCTGGAAATTTAGCTCAGTGGCTCAGGCACTTGCCTGGTAAATATAAGGTCATGAGTTCAATCCTCAGTATATAAAAAAAACCAAGATAAATTAATAGTATAAATGAAATAAATTAGTATGTATATTAAAATATTTTTGAAACAATGGAACATGTAAACTTCTCTCCCTATTTCCTATTTATCTCTTCTATTTTGCTATTTGCATGTGTTTCTCTAAGACCATGCAATATTTGAGTTTGTATGCCTGACTTCACTTAGCATGATATTCTCAAATTGCATTCATTTGTCTATGAATGGCTCAAGTTTACATTTATGGCAGTGTACTACTCCATTATGTGTACATATTTTCCTTATCCATTCGTGAGTATATATGTATCCCTATAATACAATGATTTTTAATTCTTGGGAAAATACCTAGAAGAGGAATATAGCTGAGTCAAATTGAACTGTTGTTTTTTGAGGAATCACCACACACTGATTTCTATAGTGGATGTACTAGTTACATTTTTTTTTTTTGTCTTTTTGCTTTTTATCGGTACCGGGGATCAAACTCACGATTGCCTGCTTGCAAGGCAGGCGCTCATGCCCCTGAGCAAATCCCCAGCCCCATACTAGTTACATTCTTACAATGTAAGAATTCCTTTTTCTCCACATCTTTCCAGCACTTACTAGATTTTTTTTTCTTTTTGATGATAGCCATTCTGGGCGTTAATATGGTATTTTGGTGTAATTTTAATTTGCATTTCTCTGATGGTCAGCAATAAAAAGCATCTTTTAAAACGTATTGATGGGCCATTTGTACTTTTGAGACAAGATCTTGCTAAGCAGTTCAAGGTGGCCTTGAATTGACTATGTAGATCAGGCTGGCTTCAGACTCATAGTGATCCTTCCGTTTCAGCCTCCCAAGTGCTGGAATTACCAGCATGCACCACCACTTTTTTATCATTTCTCATTCATTGTTCTGCACTTTTTCTAAGGAATGTCTATTCATTTCAGTTGCTTCCCTTTTTCTTTTTTTGTCTTTTTCATTTTTATCGGTACCGGGGATCGAACTCACTACCGCCTGCTTGCAAGGCAGGTACTTATGCCGCTGAGCTAAATCCCCAGCCCCGCTTCCCTCTTTTTTTGATTGGGTCTTTTATGTTGGGAAGTTCTTTATATTTTCTTTGTATATTCTTGATGTTAATCCTCTGTCCATGAAATAGCTCGCAAAAATTTTTTTCCTATTCATCAGATCAACTCTTCACCCATTGGTTGTTTCCTTTGTTGTATAATAATTCGATGCAACCTCATTTGATTCTTGGTAGTATTTCTTGCGCCCCCGGGGTTTTGTTCAGAAAGTCCTTGCCTATTCAAGTGAGGTACCTATTTTATTTTCCAGAAGATTGCTTGTTTTAAGATCTTTGATCCATTTTATTTTAGTACATGGTGAGCTATATGGGTCTAGACTGAATCTTTTGCAGGTATCCAGTTCTCCTAGCACCATTTATTAAAAAGGTCATCTTACCTCCAGTGTTGTTTCTGGCTCCTTTATCAAAGACAAATAGCTGTATGTGCCTGGGGCTATTTCTGCTTCTTTTATTCTGTTCCATTGATCCACTTGCCTGTTTTTGTGCCAGTACCATGCAACTTTAATCACCATATCTTTCTAACTTCAAGTCTGGGATTATGACACCTTCTCCTTTGCTGCGACTCCCCAGGACTCTTGCTATTCTGAGTCTCTTCTGACTGCATATAAATTTTACAATTTTTTTTTTGCCATGTAAAATGACATTGCTATTTGGGATGAGAGTGCATTAAACCTATCAGTTTTGAAAGTACAGCCATTTTGTTGGCTTCTACCTACTCAGAAACAAGGGATATCCTTCCATTTTGTAATGTTTTTCCTTTTTCAGACTGATATTTTCATTGTAGAGGTCCTTTACTTCCTTACGTTAATATCTGAGTGATGCTTCTGTGAATGGTATTGTTTTCCTAATTGTCTTTTCAGTGAGCTCATTAGTGTATAGGAATACTATTGATTTTTGTGTTTACTTTGTATCCTGTTATGACAATGAATTTGGTTAATTCTGGGAGACTTGGGTCTTGAGGATCATGTCATTTGCAAATGATACTGACTTCATCCTTTCTTATATGTAGTCCTCTCTCTTCTTGCCCGATTTCTGTTTCAAGGACTATGTTTAATAGTGATAATGGACATTTTTGTCTTGTTCTTGATTTTAGAACCCTTATGTTGGCAGTAGGCTGGTCTAAGTGCCTTTTTTAATTTAAAGTCCTATTATACCTGTTTACGTTTTATCTTCAACAGATCTTGGATTTTATCAATGGCTTCTTCTGTATCTATTCAGATGGTCATGTGATTTTTGCCCTTGCTTGTATTTATGGGATCAATTATTTGATGCATATGTTGAACCACTTTTTGATGCTTTGCTGATTTTTGATGAGTTGTTGCATTGTTTGTATCATGTTAAGGATTTTTGCATCTATGTTCATTAGAGAAATTAATCTATAGTTTTTGGTTGGATCCTTGTCTGGTTTTGGGGGCTGGCTAGCTTCTGGAAATGATTTTGGAAGTACTCTTTCCCTCTCAATTTCATTAAAAAAGTTTGAAAAGTATTGGTGTTGGAGCTTCCCTAAATTCTTGTAGATGAGCATATTAATAGGAGTAAAAAAAAAAAAAAAAAAGGATGACTACAAAGATGAGCAGAAGACAGGTTATGATCATAGGAGATAATTATAATTTTTAGGTGGTCAAGGTACATAATAGATATATAAAGGCCCAATGACAGATTGATCTATGGACATATACTACATGAGAACAAGTCCTAGGTAAACAAAGGATGTGAGGTAAAATTGTGAAATGTCTAAGGACTTGATGTTTCAATTACAAAGTAAATGTAGACTATAAACACCTTATTCCTTCAATTTTCTCTATTTTAAAATGTTCAAATGGGGAGGATAACAGTGGGAAGGGGAAAATGAAAGATGAGAAAAGGTTAAAAAATGAGAAAGAAAAACATGTAAACAAAACCTTCTGTAAATGAGAAGGGGAGGAGACTGGAGAAAAACCAGTTATATAATGTACAGGTAAATTCTCTATGATGAATGTGATCATTATGTATATCTAAAATTATCAGTAGATCAGATTGAAATTTTTTTTCTATGAGATACCAGAAATGGTGCTTCTGTGAGGAGTCTGCCATAAACAGTGAATAAAGCAAGTAATAACAGTTGCAAGACGACTGTGAAAGTTAAGTGTAGTAGAGATCTACAGTTTATCTCACCACTGTTCTAGGGAAGAAGCTGAAAAATAGGGCTGTGCAGTCGAAGGATCTGTTAAGTGCACTTCCTTGGTACATCTATTTATTATAGGTTATTTCAGGCAGTATCGGGGGCAAAAACTTCACTCAAATCTCAGTAGCTCTTTCCATCTTTTCATCTCACTGCGTCAGACAGAAAAAAGTCCTTTCCCCATTTTCTACTCACTAGAAAATATATTCTGGTCCTTTAAGACTCCCCATCTATAAACTCAAAGCAAGGATTAAAATTGTGCTGAATCCCATTCTCTTCCAGTTTAAGTTAAACAAATGTTTGGTCCTTTTCTTACTAAAATTTATTAGAAAAAGCTCTAATAAGTGACTTTTTAAAACTTTAAGAAAATTCAAACAATGTGATTGTCTTCTCATTAGAAGACAATGGAAGGCCTGGGGAATATAGCTCAGCAGCACAATGCCCACCTGGTAAGCGCAAGTTCCTGAGTTGGATTCCCAGTTTAAAAAAAAAAAAAAAAAAAGGAGAAAGAAAATAAGAAATGTAAGAGGTAGACACTAAACATGCTATAAAGAAATAGTTTCCTATTCAACTTTAAGTACTATAGCATACCTTATTTTCATACACTCAGAATAAACCCAGAATGGCATTACATATTGCTTTCTCAGCTTGTTGAGTAATTTTAAATAGAAAGGGGAAAAAGAGAAATAAAGACATTAGAACTCTATAGAGTTTCCAAGCAAATCTTTAAATCTCTATTAATGGTCCACAGTGGTCCTAAATTCCTGTCACAAATGACTGAAGTTTACTGAAATGTCATTTAAAAAAAAAAAGAAGAAGACTAATTTCAAGCTGAGGTATGGTTATATCCCTAACTCATAAACATCTGAGTTGTAAACTTTCACAGATATGAGTAGGCCTGGCATTATGAACATTCATAAAACACAAACAAATCCCAGAAGTAGCTCACGTGTCAGCCGGACATTGCCAGTTGTGCCGTGTGCTTACTATACAGTGTGATAGTGTACACTAGAACAGTGCTCAGAGCCCAGATGTCTGGATGCAAGAGGAAAAGCAGTGGTGGTGATGAGACTGCTAGGAAGTATAAAGCAATAACTAGCAAAACACATTGAAAATACAGTGTAAGACCCACTTTGTCAGATTTACAAATGTATCCAACTTACATTCTCCTAGAATGGAACTTGTTTGTAAACTTCCGACTTAAGTGTATCCTGAAAGAAATCTCTTTGAAGGGACACAAATCACATGCTTAATTTTGTTAATTGGTTAAAAAAAAAAAAGAAGTCATATAATCCTGATGGAAGTTTCGAGTGATCAGAAATAATTTTAATATTGCCTGCATCTGGGCATCTGGAATGCATGAAGTCTTCTTTGTGGTGCCGACTAAGCTAATATACTCCCTCTTGTGGACTGACTAGTGCTAGGGATTGAACCAGAGCCTTTGCCCTAAAATACATCCCTAGCCTTTTTTGATTTTTTGAGATAGGCTATAGCTAAATTGCCCAGGGTGGGCTTGCTGCCTTGGCCTCCCAAATTTCTGGGATTACAGCTGCATACCATCGTACCTAGTTTCTTATCTTTTCATTGTAAAAATAGATCAGAACAAAAATTATCCTGAAGTTGCATATGCTGTGAATTACAAAACTACTGGCAGCAACATAAGACATACATACCTATTCTAACAAACTAACCAATGGGCAATGGAACATAACTTTTATGGTACTTGGAACTGAACTCAGGGCCTTTGCACTGAGCTGTATCCCCAACTTTTGAGATAGGGTCTATATTGCTCAGGCTGGGTTAAATTGCAATTCTCTTAGTCTCAGCCCCGAGCTGTTGGGATTTCAGCCATGTGACACTGGGCCTAACTATAAATTTCTTAAACATAGAAGTATCTTATGCTTTGCTCATAATTAAATTATGTTGAAAAGTTTATGCCTATTTAAAAAAAGATGTCTGACTATATATAATGTATTTTCTTAGTAAGTCTGAGTTAAATACCAAAGTAATGAAGCATCAGTCATCAATAGAGCAGATTTACTTGCCATGTCTCAAATGCTGAAGTATAGCTAATTACTCTTTTTTTAGGTGCCAAGGATCGAACTCACAACCTCGCACTTGCCAGGAAGGTATTAATTCTTAGATATGTGACAAGCCAATACTTTCCCACTATGTTCTATGGGTGTTTAAAGAAGCAATTTATTATCATCTGACAATTATTACATCTGAGACTTAATGACTGCCACAGTCCAGTTTTTAGAAAATGTTAGGTCTCACTTTACCAAAATCTAAAAAGAAGGGTTAAATGTGATATCTAAAGGCTCAGTTAGCCTAATACTCTCCATTAAGTAATTTGATTTTCCTCTTTAATTCTCAGTACCTTCTGTTGAAAATATGAATTAAACAGCCAACAGACAGAAGGATGTGACAGACGAGTCTATGTTGATTTACCAAATTGACTGGTAGGGAAACTTCAAGTCCTAAAAATTATGAATAACCATTACTAAGTTCTTTGTAACACAGAAAAATCTAAAAACCACAAATTGATCTTAATAGCTAAGAATAAATCATGTGAAACCTGTTACATTTTATTTGTTAAAAATGAACAGCTTCAGAATAGAGCTAAATGTAACTTTTCCAAAAAACACCAAAAAGTACAGTGTAAAGCACCTCCTCATTAAATACAAACTTTCACTTTGTGATGCACTGCATCAATGTTTTGCATATACCTTGATGCAAAGAAAATTTTAAGTTGCATCCTGTTTAAGAAAAAAAAAAAATTTAAGAAATGAACAAAGATGACTACAACCACATTCCAAGAAAGGAAGTATCCTCCAACAAACCATATTGTTTTGTTTATATACAACATGTTAGTATTCGAGAGTTTTAATTTAGTTATACCAAAGGCAAAATTTACATTAAAAGAAAATTACAGACACATGAATTGCAAAAGTTTAATATACCAAAGACACTGTTAATTTCATGTGCTTAATGTCAACATTTGGGGCAACTTTTAAGATATTACAAAAAATGACATTAATAACACCTCTGTATGGTAATATTTAAAATAATGAAATTGAGAACCCTTTTATACCATATTTTCAAAACCTGTTCTAAAGATAGCACACTCATGCTTGGTTGTTTTTCCTTTGCTTTAAAATAAGCTACCAAAAAATAAAATAAAATAAGCTACCAACAATTCCAGCCAGTCTAAAATGCATTGTTCTTGGATCAAATATTAAGTATTCATATTTGCAAAAATGTTCTACAATGAATCCTTGGCCTCTATGAAAAGATTCAAATTGCTAAGAGGAGATAGAGTTTATTTTCAAATTCTGTGCCTGGGTTCCAATAATCCCTTATCAAACAAAGTACTGGCAAAACATTAGATATTAAGGATCGGATTTCTTTGGTATAAGCATGAAACTGTTATTGATAGCTTCCCATGGCTAGCATAAACCAGTAAGTAACCCAAGGAACAAAGAGACAATGAAGTCTAGTAAACAATGTAAGGTAGGCAGGAGTGATAATGTTTTGTTTTACAACAAAAGTCAACACTAATAAGATAAGCCAGAGAAACACCACCTATTTAGAGGTTCAAACATTATATATAGTAAACCAAAAATCAAAGCTTCAAAATGACCAAACTTGTTAATTTTCAGCTGGAATATTTTACAATATTTTGGCATTTTTCTGTAATTTGTAGTACACAATTTCTGAAGACTCTCAGCGCTATCTTGGCACAATAGACTAAATCATTCCCACTTCTCCAGAGTACAGGAAAAGCTCTTTCTCCCTCTAAATGCTTGAACTTTGTATCATACAAAAAACCTGGAAGGTATACAACGAAGGTTACAATATAAATTATTGTAATTTTATACTTTTTTTTCTGGAGCTATAAATTACTTAATTTAAGCAGGCTTATAATCTGAACTATCTGAATAAGAAGAAAATATAGGATTGTAAGGCTATTAATTTTACTATCAAAATAGCTAAGGGACTTGCTGTATTTTTAAAACTAAAATTCTAAGTATCAGTTGAACAATCTGCAGACACTGAACTCAAGAATACAATAAATCCAGAGTATACCTATGACCTGGGTTTTGAAGCTTTTCACCTAAGTTTCTGGTCCTTTGACTTGCTCCTTCTTTGCATCCTTTCATTACTAATTATGAACTGTTGGCTTTTTACACTGAACCTTCTCCAGTGTCCTATCAGATAACTGTGTTATCGTGATTTACAGCTTTCAGACATTAACATTTTAAACCAAGACTAATGCCAAGAACCACATTTCTTGTTAAAAGGTCAGCACTAAAGATTTACAATTCCAGGGGTCTAACTTAACACCACCTGAAAAATAAACCAAGTTCCAGATAGTTCATTAATCTTAAAAGCCAAAACTGGAATACACATAAGATTTCTAAAAAATGTGTCTAAAGAAAAGGCAACTGCACTTACTACATCAAAACTCTTAAAGGATAAATAACAGCAACAAAGGGACTTACTTGTATTACAGAGGACAAAGTACTTTACCATGGCAAAGTCTAAAAAGTGGGCAAAGGTGATAAGATCCTAAATATCACTATCATAAAAATAATCAATTTCTTTCTTTCTATCTTCCATCTGCTGCATGAGGAACCAAGGAGGTCAACAGAAAATTGTTCTGTCTGGGAAAACCATGAAATCTTTAAGAACAGATAGGTATATTCCCTGTTACCTTTCAGGGCATTATTTTATATACTTAAAAAAAAACTTCAAAAATAAGAATTATTTAGCCTTGTGAATATTTTATGGTAAACTTTTTTGAATTTCTGTGATGAACTCTTCAAGCAACTCAACTTTTCAAACAAATTCATCACTCAAAAGTTCCTTTGACATGGGATCTATCCCACAGTGACAAAGCGGCTTCCTCCCTTGTTGTATGTGAGAGTGGCTCTTTGTTCCTTTAGGATTCCAAACCGTTCATTCAAAGTCATCCCTGTCTATAGAAATGGAAAAAGAAAAAGAAATAAATTAACAACCTGAGAGAAAGCTGTATTTGCTTTGGAATAATCTTATGATTAACAATAATAATGACAATAGCTAACATGTCCAAAATATTTACACAAATCTCATTAGATTTTAACAAAAAACATAAAATATATGAAATTAAAGAGGTTTAGACAAGTTAATTAAGTTGCCTACTAGCAGCTCCTCACTCATAATTCCTGCCTCCTGTCAAGAATATAGCTCAGTAGTAGAGCTTGCATCACATGTACGAGACCCTGGGTTTCAACTCCCAGTACCCCAATTAAAAAAAAAAAATTCATTTGGCAGTATTTTAAAAAATTTCTGAGTTCATTACAGAAATATGAAAATCTAGTTTTTGATGAACTAACAAAGTACTATCAAAAATGAAAATGTAACTATGACAAAATGAAATGAAAATAGGCAAAATAAATTCATCTAATTTGTGTGCATGCTCATGCTAGTGATTGTAACTAGGGCCTTTCACAGAACAGTAGTCCCAGACCAAATATGACTAAATTTGTGTCTGTAATTCTTATTTTCAATTCCACATTTTTATTTCAATGGATACTAAAAGAAAACATAAAAGTCCAAAACTCTCTCAGGATAGATTCTCAAATTAGAAATAGATGGGAGCACCCTCAAGTTGAAAAAGCATATCTCTGAAAACTTATAGCTAACATTATATTTAATAGTAAGACATTTAATGCTTTCTCCTTAGGCTTTAGAACAAGGCAAGCACACAACAGTATCTTGCCACTTGTATTCAACATTGTACTGAAGGTCCTAACTATTGTAATAAAAAAGGTTTAAAAAAGGCAAGGCACTTGGAGAATGACATGACTATACACAGAAAATCCAAAGTAATTTACAAATTTACTACAAAAATGAATTTAGCAAACGATACGAGTTTAATAAAAAAAAAACAAAACTTAAAAACCTCAGTGAGATACCACTTCACATACTCAATTATATGGCCACAGTCATAAAACAGGTAATAAATGTGGTAAGAATATGGAGAAATTTAGAAACCTCATATATACTGGTGGGAATGTAAAACAGCAAGTTATGGTTTTGTATTTAGATGTCCCCCTGAAACTTCATGAGGTCATAGGTGGGCCTTGGTGGCAAGATTTAGAGTACATGATGGCCTTGATTCACCGTCTGATGCTAGGATTAAGGGTATGAGTGCTATCTACCTTAAGGGTGGGTAGCCTGCGTAAGATATAAGGGACAGAAAGAGCTGGAGTATTGTTTCTCATCACTTACTGCTTTCTGTCTGCCATGAACTGTTTTTCCTCTGAGATGCCCTTTGCATTGCTATCCTACCTTAGAACCAGTCAACTATGTACTGAAACCTCTAGAAACTGAACTAAACCTTTCCTCCTTTAACATGTGAGTGCTGGGTATTTGGCTAAACAATAACAAAAGTAACTAAAATAAGCATACTTATTCCTTTGGAAGACAGTCTGGCTGTTTCTAAAAAGGTTAACTATGGAGTTACCATAAAATTCAGCACATTCTCGGTAGTTACCAAGAAGAATTAAAAAGGTGCTTGCACAAAAACTTGTCCACAAATGTCCAAACAATCAGTATTCATAGGCTTAAGATGGAAACAACCTAAATGTCTACCAAATAATGAATGAATAATAAGATGCTGTATATAAAGTCTAGTGTGGTAGCGCACAGCTAATGCTAGATCTTTGGCAGGCTGAGGCAAGATAACTTTTTTTTTTTTTTTCAGGTAACATTTTTGAAGCCAGTCTGGGTACCACAGTGAAACCCTGTCTCAAAAAAATTAAGAAGGGCTGAAGCTCTAGCTCAGTGGTACAGGACTTACCTAGTATGAACAAGGCCCTGGATTCAATCCCCAATACCATGCATACACAGAAAATGCCGTATGAATAGGCTTAATATGGTTAACGAATGAAATATAACACAGATGAAGCTTAAAAACATTATGGTAAATGAAAGATGCTAGTCACTAAGACCACATATTTTATGATCCAATTTATATGAAATGTCAAAACAGACAGTCTATAGAACAGAAAAGATAGTAGTAGCTACCCAGGATTGAATAGTTAGAATGCTTTAATTTGCTATATAACAATATTTTATTAATTTATCAAATAATATTTAAAGTATTACATAATGTTCTTATTAAAATACTGTCAGTGAATAGCCACAAAGAAATACAGAAAAAATTTTTTTACCTGTTTCCCAACACTATTTATGTCAAATTGTAGGGGGACACCTTTAGGAACTTTCTTTACATCAGACTGTTCCCGTTTTGTCAAGAATGAGGGTACAGCTGTACGAGTTAATCGTGGTTTCTGAGCTCTATTAGAAAAAAAGGAGTTAAATTAGCTTAACATCTAGAAGGAAATTCGGTGCCTAAAATGTCTTGACTTGTACACATGTTCAAATGTGTAGGGCTTGGACAGAACCTGAGTTCTTGAGGCCTTTGAATCCCTAAAGGAATATGTTAGGACAAGTAAAATGAAATCCTTCTTTATTCAGCAAGGACAAAACAGTGCAACTGGTAATCCTTTCATAAAGGTGGACTACACTTCGGATTTTAATAAAGAAGTGCAGGAAAAAAAATTGTGTACGGCTATTTTACTATATACTTTAGGAAAAAAAAAAAAGAAAAAGAAAAAGGATCTGGCTCTTGATTACTACTCTAGAAACTAAAATTCGCAATTGTTCATACCATAATTACAACTAAAAATTTTTTTTTTAACAATTTGCTGATTTTCAAGTCTTGGTTTTCTAAATTATCTGTACAGTCTTAGAGCCTTGCACTATACTATTTTCATTTCAATCATTAAAATGGTTGGAGAGATCAAAAACTCCATAAATTTAGAATGTTTATAGTGCAATAAATATAATGAAACAATAAACCTTATTACTCTCTTCTAATTAAGAAAATACACAAAGAGGTCTTTAAAGAGAAGATAAGTCTGTATGATCTGATAAGTAATATCCAAAATACACTAGAGTGACAGGAAGAAAGATATATTAAGTAGGTATAGTATCATCTCATTTATTATCATACATATATGTAATGTACAATTACTTGTCATATGTGTACAATATTTTCTTAAATACATAATTTGTTAAAAGGGAGCTACATGAATCAGGAATCAAGGAAGCCTTACTCTGAATTCTATCTTATTTCCAATTTGTATCACAAATACTACTTTTATCTTTGCATCTCACTGTATACTAACATTTTTAAAATTAAAAATTATGGAGTAAGACATTGCTGTTCGTCCCCCTAAAAAAGGCCCACCCCTCTTCAAACACAATGAACTTTATCCTAACTTATGCATCTAACTCTTGAGTACAAGTCCAATAGTGAGTGTAACATATAAAAGGGCTTTAAGTTTTTTTTTTGAGGGAGTACCAGGGATTAAACTCATAAACTCGTGCTTTCCAGGCAGGCACTTGTGCTGCTGAGCTAAATCCCTGGCTATAATTTTTATAGAAGGAAAAAAAAAAGACTTACACTGGGCACTGTACTGCTCCAGGATTGTCAATAGACACAGTCAAAATTCCTCCACTGGTGGTGGAAGTACGCCACCTAGTTTCAAAAAAGCAAAAATTTTATTAAAATGGGAATTCGTAAATCCTCTATTGTAACTCGTATAAAAGTATACTAATTATCTGTCTGCATTTATTTTGGTGCGAGGAGGTAAAACCAAGGCTTTATGCATGGTAATCTAGTATTCTTTCCACTGACATACAACTGTCCAGCCACAAAATGACACATTTAGGAAATGGCTATTACTTTTTCTCATCTTTTTTGAAATACTGATACCTAGGCTGGTCCGAAGGTAGTGAGTTATCTCAATTGATTGTTCACAGTCAGTACAGATTGAACTCCTTGTTCTACTCTTGACTGGTCTAAAAAAAAAAATTAATAAAAAGAAATACTGATACCTGGACCTCATCATGAGGCAATGAATCAGCATACTGTGTACAGGAACTGAGTACCTGAATTTCTTACATCTTTCTGGTATAGTAAATATCAAATATAGATGGGATTCAATACAACCTAACAGTCTTTCACTCCACTCCTTTCCTTCCCATTCCCCTGAGGCATTACTTCTTGACCTTTCCTGTTTTTACTGTTTGCTGCTTCTCACAAAAAAAAAAAAAAAAAAAACAAAAAAAAAAAAAAACACTTACTAGAAAAATCTTGCTATACTGAATAAGATCATCATACCATCATTCAGTTTCCCTTTGATATAGTATTTTGATGGTTATAACAACATCTTACTTTCACTGTGACTTTAAATATTTCTTTTAGTACCATCTCTTGACACTCTTCCAATTAGTATGAGGATAATAGTCCTTCTAATCCTTTTTCCAACTTTTGTCCCATTTTGTATCTTCTTTTTGTCAGTTCTGCCTTCATATATGCACTAATGTGACATTCACACTATATACTGTCTCAAAATTAACTACTTTGTGCTGATCTACAAGTTAATTCTCAAAGCTAAAAAATTAACATTTACATTAATTGCTATCATGTAAATACTATTCATTTTAGAAGCTTGTAGGCTACAGTTACTTTCCCCTATGGTTTCCAATGTCCTACCCTCTGTGCTAGACAGTATTGCTCACATTAGGTTCAAATACAGTAGTTCCTTTTTTTAGTTCATTTTCTTCAGTCTCAAAATTGTAACCCACTGTATCTAGCCTTGTATTTGCATAATGACCAAATTTTGTTTTCCAAAAAGTAACTGTTGGAGTCAAGAAGGCTGAAGGAGTAAATTCATGTGGGGGTACTGCTCCAAGCTTAGGGCATGTAAGGATGCTTCTGGACAGCTTCAAGGACATGACCTTGCAGTCTAGCGCAGGTGCAGAGTGGGATACGGTTATTTAACCATGACTTAGCATTGAACCACCACACATGTGCCAGTGGGGTCAGCATAAAAGAATATAAATATGTGACAAAGACATGTATAAGAGTTAACCACTAAAGATGGGCTGTTCGCTCTATTTGCTGCTTGCTGTGTTGTTGACATCTGCCTCTGTATGCTTTCTGTGGGGACTTCACCCATGAATGTGCTCCTTCCTCATCTGCCAACAGTAGCCATAACTTTATTGGATCACATTGATGGAATTAAGAGTACTACAACTCACAGTTACAATGACAAAAATGAATTTCTAAAAAAATTTCTATAACAACACAGGAAGCAAAGAAATGCTTTATTAAATTTAGTTTTACAAATATTCTAAGAACACTTAGACTATTCATTCTCTAGATAGGTTCATGTATATAAAAGATGATACAGGAAAAAAAGACTTTTTCATTAAGGCAGAGTAAACAGGCAATTAAAAAATACAGTAATTTGGTGCTAAAAATGTCTTAATACTAACATGTGAAAATTCAAAGGTTTTTAGAAGACAAAAGCAAAATAGGATTTATTTTAAGCTTAATTTCTTCTTGAGTCTTTTAATTTCTTTCAGACTAGTGCACATGGTAATTTGGATGGTTAGTATTCTCTGACTTTTAAAATGATATCCTGAAAAACAAATTGACTTACTGACGAGTTCTCTTTGCTACTACATCGTCTAGCAGTTGCTCTGTGTTCAACTGGGCCTGAACCTAAAGGGGGAAAAAAAAAAGCAGCAGATCCCATAAAAGGCAGAGGATTTGAATCCAAGAAGCTATCATGCACTGTACTCTTATAACCCAGTGTGGCATGTGCATGAATGCAGGAGAAGGGGGGTTTATTTTTATCTCCTGACAGAAGCATCAGAACAAGTGGCAAACATTAGTTTACTAAGAAACATTAAATTCTTACAGGAAGTTGCAATGGATTGACGGTAAGGAAGAACAATGAACAGAAAAACTGAGGCAGAAAGAACTAATCTAGTGTCATGTTTCTACATCCCAAACTTAACCAATCCCCACCTCAACCATGAGCCAAACCTATGATTATTACTTAAAGGTGGCCGCTCAGGATCCTTTCTGGGTTGAGGAAAAAAACAAAACAAAACAAAACAAAACAAAAAACAACCAAGGTTTTTAATACCTTCAGGCCTCTTCGGAAAAGAAAAGTTGCCTGACGAGTATCTTTCTGATGGCTTAATTTATTTGCACTCCTGGTAAAATTAGCTGGAATGTTACTTCTGCAAAAAAAACATGTATCATGACTATTCTCAGCTACTTTTCTTTCAAATATCTTGAGGAAAAATAATAAAAATTAAATTCACATGCTTACAACCTGACAAGCACGTGACATAAGACTCCATCCTAACAGTTTTCTTATTTACATGAAACTACTGAGAGCTGATTTACTGTATCTCCCTCTGCAGATAATCACATGCAACTGTGAACTAATTTATATTCCTAACACATGACTCTAATACACCATATATAACACGTATTCTGAAGACATTTACAAAATCACATTTTAAATGGTATTTCCTATTCCTAAAGAAAACATAAATTTACACATTTGTTCACAGGATTAGTACAGAGAAATTCATACATGTGCACATTCACAATCAAAATGGAAAACAACAATACAGGTTTAAACAATAACCTCTCTTCCTTCAGCTTTCTCTTCCATCCTCACTTAAGAGATTTTTATGTAAATATAAACCACAAAGAAATATATTCTTCAACTTTTATTTTTTCATGCACAGAATTATGTTTGACTTGACTTTTACCACTTCCTTTCTATTTTTTGAGGAAGTTGATGAACTATGAGAAAATAAAAAATTTGTATTTATCTACTAGATATATAAGTACTTTAATAGTTATAATCTTATTTCTAATGTCATAGAGATTCAAATGTAAATTTTCCCTGGCTACTCAGTTAACATGCAAGTCTCACATAAATGATGCATTCTTATTTGAGAAGTCCCCTTTCATAACTGGCACTTCCAACTGATGTCTAAATATGATAGTTAAGTAAAACTGCATTTTTAGCCATTTCACTAATAAAGAGACCTCATTCCATGTTTGTTTGTTTGTTTGTTTTTTCTTTTTCCTTTTCATCGGTACCAGGGATCGAACTCACAACTGCCTGCTTGCAAGGCAGGCGTTTATGCTGCTAAGCTAAATCCCCAGCCCCGTCATTCCATGTTTTATTATGGATAATCTTCTGCAAGAAATACATGAATGGTACTTGAAAGGGAAATAAGGTAACTTCATACCTTGCTAGCTTCCTTTATGTCAATATTATCTTTATAGAGAGTGGAATGCACAACAGGTCTTACATTTTAGATTTTTGTTACGCCTTTCAATTTAGTACAAAATAATTTCAGTTTCAGAAACATTCCTGCAGGAAGTCTCTCTGGTTTGCTTTTTCACAGATATTCTCCAATGTGATTCAGTGTTTTAATCAGAGCTACTGAGCCTGAGGTAATTCAGCTTTCAGAATTTCCAATTCTGAATAATTCTAATTGAGGTGTTAGGATTTTGTAACTTTATTCTTAAGAAGTAGAGTGGTGCCTGTTTAGCATATTCCTATAATCCCAGCTACTTCAGAAGCTGCAGCAGGAGGACAAATTCGGAGCAGCCTGGACAACTCAGACATAAAATATTGTCTTACGTTTGAACACTTACTTTCTGTTTAACTGATTAGGTCTCTTGAGAACTGTAGCTGGTTTTCTTTGCACATCATTTTGTCTCAGAAGGTTTGCTTTTCTTTTTAACACTGGAAAATACCGTTCTATGTTCTTTCAGGAAACAAGAAAATATGTTAGCTTGTTTTTGTTACATACCCTATTACAATAAACATTTCTGGTGCAGAACAGATAAACATTCTATTACTTGGATGTCATGGGGGAGACTGAGATACTAAAACGACTAGACACTTTCTTTAGTGACTAAAAAGACTGCTGCATTGTATTTAAAATACCTGAAGTGATCAGGGCATTCACAGATAATGCAAAATGTCATTCTGGAACTAAAGGAAAGAATCAGAGCGCTAGAGAAGTGAATTATGAATCAATTTATATAAAAATGATTCTAAGTGCTATGTTTTGGGTAAGGTTATGTGCTCTTCCCAAAGTTTGCATGTTCAAGGCTTGGTCCACAGAGCAACAGTTTTCGAAGTCATAAAGGCTTCAGAGGGTAGGGCCTAGTGAGAAGTCTTTAGTTTACTGGAGAATTGTGGGACCTGGCCTCTTCCTCAGATTTTCTGGTCATGAGGTAAGCAGTTTGCTCTGCTCTGCTATATTCTCCTGCATCATGTGCTTACCTTACCAGAGGTCCAAAGCTATGTGCACCTCTCCGGATTTTGGACTATCTTCAAAACAGTGAGGAAAAACACTATTCTTTGTAAGTTAATTCTCCCAGGTATTGTTTTACAGTGAAAAAAGATGACACACTAAATGGAAGAATCTGAGAGCCAAGTTCCAAAACAAATGTGACAAAATATACAAGGAAAGTTATAAAGAACAAAACAGTTGTAGTAGAAATAGAATGGAAAAAGAAAAATTCAGTACAATAAAAAAAATCACAGAGCTCACAGTCCCATTACTCTGGGAAGCTGAGGCAAGACAATACAAAGTTTGAGTCTAAGCAACTTAGCAAGACTATCTCAAGAAACAGAAAGGGGTGTGGATGTAGCTCCCTGGGCTCAATCCCCAGCACTGCAATAAACACACCTGAATACACAAAATGTGTACTTTTCCTTCATCCACATATGTAAATTGAACCCATTATTAAAGCCTAATTTATGACGATGTCTCCAAATTTCTTGACCATATCTTACACTTTATCTACAGTCTCCTAGTGTCTTAAGCATATGAGAAGTAGCATATGAGAAGAAGCATAAATATCCGCTGTTAAAGTAAGGTAAAAAATTAAGAAGTTGGGGCTGGGGATTTAGCTCAGCGGCATAAGCACCTGCCTTGCAAGCAGGCAGTCGTGAGTTCAATCCCAGGTACTGATAAAAAACGAAAAATGAAAAAGACAAAAAAAAAAAAAAAAAAAGAAGTTTTCACTTTCATGAGCACTTGGAAAAGAAGTATACATAAAACAAGGACAAGCTAGGGATTTAGTTCAGCAGTATAAGTGACTGCCTGGCAAGCTCAAGGCTTTGAGTTCAATCCCCAGCACCAAAACAAAACAAAAAACACAGGGACAAAATATCAAGAACACAGGAAGAAAAACCAAAAGATCAGATTAATGGCCTACTCCAGGTTTTGGTGAAAGCTCCTTTAGACACTGTTGACACATGTAATTTGGCACATGACAATCATGTGTGTGACAACAGAAGTTTTATCTTAAGTTTACTAAACATACACACTTTTCTTGCCCTTATTCTCTGAACATACACAGCAGTAAAACAACATACTATTTTCATTGTATTAGGTGTTCTACTTTATACAAGGGGCTTTAGCATCTGCAGATTTTGGTATCTGAGAAATATCCTGGAACCAATTCTCCACAGATATGGAGGAATAACTACATTGGGAAAACTGGAAATTTATATAATTTTATATGAATGGGTTTCTAAAAATAGTTATTAAATGTTTACATACACCCTGAAGTGCTATATAACATTACCTTATGAAGCTTATTCATAAAAATATTAGTACAAATAAGGAAAAGGCTCTCTAACCAGGATTCAGCCATATCCTACCTTGTCACTTAGAGGGGGACGATTCATAGGACTAACTCCTTTTCGAATTCCAGTTGCTTTTCTAGCTGCAAGGCCAGTGATAACTCCATAAGGGCGTCTCTTCCCAGGCATTACTTTTCCTCTTCGGCTCAGACTAGTTTTACCAAAACCTGAAAGAAAAAAGAAGAAATGGTATCAATTTAGGAATGCAAATGGGTCACAGGATATGCTTTATTTTCCAAATACAGTACATATGTGTATTTTAAGTTTATTTTTATCATTTACATGTTCTTTTGAGTTACATGAATAATTCACCTTTAAGCAGGCAGTAAGCTACACTGCAAAGAAGTCTGGGGTTGTACTGTACTACAAAGGAAAGGATGACTATCACATGTTCACCTTATCTCTTCTGTCATGACCTTCTCAATAAGAAATTTAGATTATACCTGGGAAATATAGTAGTCACTAACAATATGTTGTTACTGAATACTTGAAATATAACTAATGTAAATTGCGATGTTACAAATAAAATGCAAAATATTTCATTAATGACTTTATACTAATTATATATTACAAAGTAATTTATTATTAATATGTGGCTCACATTTTATTTCTAGAGACTAGTGCTGATCTAGAGTAGAATCCCTCTCATCTCCCTATTTTCTTACTACATGACCACCTGACTTGTTTGCTTTCAGTCTTATTCTATTTGAATTATTTTGCTCAAGATACTAATGAACCTCATGGACATTTTTTTTTTTTTGTCTTTTTTTCTTTCTTTTTATTAGTACCAGGTATCAAACTCACGACTGCCTACTTGCAAGGCAGGCGCTTATGCTGCCGAGCTAAATCCCCAGCCCCCCTCATGGACATATTTTAATGTCTGTGGCATGTAACGTTATTGATTTTGCTTTTCTATGATAAATCTTACAGATTTCAAAACTTTTCCTAATCATTAAAAAAAAAAAAAAAAAAAAAACATGCCAGGCTGGGGATTTAGCTCAGCGGCATAAGTACCTGCCTTGCAAGCAGGCGGTTGTGAGTTCAATCCCCGGTACTAATAAAAAGAAAAAAAAAAAGTGTAAAAAAAAACCATGCCAAGCACAGACACATGCTGTAATTCTAGCATTTAGGAAGCTGATTGAGGGAAGAGGATTGCTGCCTCAGTAAGAATTGTTCAAGGCCAGCTTGGACTATAGAGTGAGTTTAAAGCCAGCCTCAACTACAGAACAAGACCCTGTCTTCAATAAAACAAAACAAAACACACTGAGATCCCAGGCAAACTAGAAACATAAAACATTTTTAATTTCAATATTTAAGCAATTCAAAAGACCATTACATGTGGTACTTTACCATTTTTTGCTGGGAGGAATTGAACCCAGGGCCTTTTGTTTGCCAGGCATGTGCTGTGTTGCTGAGCTACATCCCCAGCCCCAAACATACTATTTTAGTGCCTACGTTAATTATATCTTACTACACACCACATACACACACACACACACACACACACACACACACACGGGGCTAAATCTTCACATTGAGCTACATTCTCCATCTATTTTCAATTTTTGATAAAATAATTGGCCAGGTTGAGTCCAAACTTGCGAGCCTCCCACCTCAGCCTTCCAGATGCTCAGATTATAGGCATGTGCTACCATGTCCAGCAATACTAGATTATATCATGTTTTTATACTCTTTTAATGTATTACTCTTTAATGAGTCGTACTAAATTCAGTCAACTTTCTAAAAATCATTTCAATTACTTCTAACATTTTTATAGTCATCTATGATAATTTCTTCCAGATATAAATTTCTAGAAAGTGAAATACCAGATCAAAGAATAAAAAGGAAACACCAGAGTAAGTGCATTCAGTTCTAGTCCCAGGAACATACAGGGCTACTTTTACGTATAACTGACAATTGTGAGTATTATTTTTAAATTTTTATCATTTAGTATTTGGAAAAAATCTTGCTGTTTTAGATTTCTACTGAAAATAAACATCTTCGTGTGATTTTGGTCATCTGTATTCATTCATTCATGAACTTCATCTTCTATAACAGTATCATTCAGGAACCAGCATGTGTTCCCATTCTCAAGTGGTTTTTTTTTTTTTTGGTCACTACATTGTTTCAGTAAGGATCTCTTTCTTCTTATAATTTTTACACATTTCTTGTTAAACTTATTACGAGGTATTCTATACATTTTATTGTCAGTTACAAAAAAGGTCTCTTCTAATAATATTTGCATTGTCACATTGCACTATACAAAGCTATTTAAGTTTTACTTTTATTTATTTATTTTTTGGTCTTTTTTGAGAAAGGGTCTCATTATGCAGTTCAGGCTGGCCTTGAGCTCACTTTGTAGCCCAGGCTAGTCTCGAACTTCCAACGACCCTCCCACCTCAGCCTCCCGAGTGCTGGGATTTACAGGCGTGAGCCACCACGCCCGGCACAAAGCTATTTAAGTTTTAGTTACTTTTTTTTTTTTTTTTTTGGTGGTACCGGAGATTGAACTCATGACCTCACACTTGCCAGGCAGGCACTTAGACCACTGAGCTAAATTCCCAGCTTAATTACTATTTTTAAAAGAGCTACTGCCTCAATTATTAGTTCCAGTAGTCCTTCAAATTTTCTTGAGGTTTTTTTTTTTTTTTCCTTCCACCATGCTCAGAATCAAATCCAAGGCCTCAAGAATGCTGAGCCCATACTCTACCACTGAGTTTCACTTCTAGCACTGATGCTTAAATTTTTTCTTGGAATTTTCAGTCAACCACTGTGTCATCCACAAATGATAGTCTCCTCTCTTCCAAAAATTATACCTCATTTTTTTAGTTTCTTTTTTTTTTTTTTCCTCGGTACTGGGGATCGAACTCACGACTGCCTGCTTGCAAGGCAGGAGCTTATGCCGCTGAGCTAAATCCCCAACCCCTTTTTTAGTTTCTTAATGCAACAACCAGGAATTTCAGAGAATGACTCCAAGTAACTATTGTGATAGTGTTCTCATCTTCAAAAAAGTTTCTAAAATTAAAGTTAAAATAGCTTTCTGTATTGTATGATTTCTCAGTGCTCATTTGTGCTATGCATCTCTAAGAAAGGAGTAATAGCATATGTCATCCCCAAACTTATCTAACTCTTGAATCTTTTTGTGTAGTGTTCCTAACTAATAACTTTGAAAATAAAAGAGTTCAACAAGACAGACAGAAAACCCTGATATGCTATGCTGACTGAATTATTTATCAATTCACATCCAATCCAGCCTTTATTTACCACCCTGCCTCTGAAACTGGAACACTGCTTTTGTCAGCGAGCATGATGTTAAACTTTGTCAGCAGAGGGCGCTGGAGAGATTCCGGAGCAAACGGGCTTTTCGAGGTCCCAGGGCGCCTCCTTCAAGCTTGCTTCAGTGATGCAGAACATCCATCGACAGTCACCAACCTCCCTAGCCCCATCAGGCAGCTACTATGATGAGGCTAGAGAAATAATGATGCAGAAAATCCTTGGTGATGCCTTAGATGATGTGCCCTTGGCATCCCAGTTCTTGGCCCTGATCATCCAGGAGCGCATTTAGGCTACACCACCTGCAGACAACATCCCAGTGAGTTCCATCAATACAGCACCCTCAAGTGAACAACTTTACCACCCAGGTTCATGGCCTCACCCTATTCCAAGGCAGGAAGTCAGAGGAGTTGGGGGTTTTCCCCAATTTGTTCCTTTCTCAGGTACTCTGCCTCGGTCCTAAAGGTAGTGCTACTAACTTTATAATCAGAAACAAAGCAGTAAAAAAAACTTTTACATTTTTAAAAAGCTGGGTATAGTGGCACATGTCTGTAATTCCAGCGCTTAGGAGGCTGAGGCAGGAGGATCACTGTCAGTTTGAGGCCAGCATGAACTACATATAGAGACCCAGTCTCAAAAAACCAAAACAAATATATTTTAAAAATAGAATTATTGTGCATTATGTGTAACTTCCTTCTAAAATGACTAAACCTGTCCATTAACTCAAATCTACAAACTTGCTCTTACTATTCTAGGAACTGTGTCAAATAATTTGCTTATAACTTAATGAAGCAGATGATAAACATCCTAATTTTGCAGGTAAGCAAAGTAAGACAAAGAACAATGATTTCTGAGAGGTCTCAGAAAATAGCACCACCATCTTCTAGTTGTGTATGGCTCCAAAAACTGAACACTTCTCCAAATTGTGATATAAAAATTAAAGAGTAAATAGCTGGGTGTGGTAGCATATATAATCCCCAGCACTCTGGGTGAATGAACCAGAGGATCACCATGAGTTTGAGAACAGATAGGGTTGTCCTGGTCAAATAATGATTTGATCCCTCAAGCAGCGGGGACAGATAATGATATCCATACGATGAAGTATCATGGAAGGACTGATTTTTTTTTAATTAAAGAGTTTCCAAGGCAATATAGCATGTTAAGTATGAAAAAAAATAAAACTAATTTATGATCCCAAAAATACCAAAAAAACTAATATGCTCATTGAGTTATACAATGAGTTCACTGAGTTACACAATGAGTTCAAAGTCAGCCTAAATTACATAGTGAGACCCTGTCTCACAAAATAAAACAAAAACATAACAAAACTCCGAAGAATAACAAAAGCCAAGATATAATTTATAGAACATTTCTAAGGAGAATAAAAGCTACCATTATAGAAAAAGTAGGTGGGCAGTGTATTATAAAACAGACATGGCATTATGTATACCTACATCGTACCAATACATTTAAATTAAAAAAAAAACAGATATGAAGGATTTCGGGTTGGAGTGGTAAGTACAAAGATTGGGTGACCATAGCACATTGACAGACTGTCTGAGGACAAGTGTAACAAGTGAATGGGCACTCTGAATTCAAATCACACAGGGATTTGAAGAATAAAGATACACTTGCTAAGGAACAAGGGAGGTTCACTGAACTGTCTCATTAGCAGAGAATATCAGCATAAGTGACCGAAACAGAGAGAAGGTAGTAAGACCATTTTGGATGCCACTATAGCACTAAAACATGACATTATAAAGGACTGAGAAAGAAACAAAGAAATCTGAAATATGTGCACCCCTGTAATCCCAAAACATGGGATGCTGAGGCAGGAGGATTGCCCCAAATTCAAGGCCAGCCTGGGTTACATACCAAGTTTCAAAGCCAGCCTGAATTACATAGCAAATTGTATCACAAACAAAAACAAAAATACAAAGGGATGTAGAAGCCCTGGGTTCAATCTCTGATGGGGGGGGGGGAAATAGGACAAAGAGAACAATTAAAGGGAAGAGGAATCCATTATTATAGCATAGTTTCAAGATCAGATGAGATTGATGAAAGTCTCATTAACAGAAATAAAATAAATTAAAATGACAAAGTAAGGGATAGAATTCTTTCCTTGGGGTCTATTTTGAACTATTTGCTTACTGTAAATTTTTCCCTTGTGTATCATCCTTTCCACTGTCATCTACTATCTATGAGAACAACTAAAATCAGAGATAGAAAATTTCATCCTTTTGAATCCCTAGCCTACCCCCTTTCATAACCTACTTTCACACATACACCATTTGCCTCAATCATTTCAAGAGCCTTTAGAAGGTAATTAAAGTCCTAGGAGTGAAATGCTTATGAATGGGATTAGTACTCTGTAAAAAGCAACTTCACAGAGCTCCCTATTTCTTTTTCTGCCATATGAGGCTATCACAAGTCACAGTCTGCAAACTAGAAAACACAACCTTCATTAGAACTTGATCTTGCTGGTGTTCTGATTTAGGTCTCTCAGCCTCTGGAAATGACAAATAAACTTCTGAAGTTGGTAAGCCACCTAGTCTATGATATATTATTTGGAAGTCTGAACTAAGCAAAGCTTCTACACTTAAATCTACTTTAACTACCACATACTGCATAAATTCAAGAAAAGTTCAGGAGAATGAAAACACAATTGAGGTCTTAGTATAAAAAGTTTTGATATCATAAACCCCGTAAGCCTTGTGGAATTCCTATAGGTACCTAGACAACATTTTGAGAACTACTGTTATACAGTATTCTATCAATGAAGGATATCTGGATTGCTTATACAAGTATTTATTGAGTGTTTAAAACTGTATTTCAGGCCAGGTGTGGGGATGCATGCCTGCAATCTCAGCACTCAGGAGATTGAGGCAGGAGGATTACCAGCTAGGACTACATGCTGAGTTCAAGGCTAGTCTGGAATACATAGTAAGACCCTGTCATTCACAAACAAACAAACATAAATAAATAAATGAAATTATATTTCAGGCATGGCGATAGAAGACTTCATGTACTCTGCAATCAAAAACCATGAGTATCTGCCAACATCTCTCTGCTATGTAGTATTTATTCTCTCATCCCAAACTAACATCCTTACTAAAGTTACATGTGCAACTCTAAACCACATTAACATTCTAAATGATTCTATATGTGGAAATTGAAATCCTTCCTAACCAATCAAAGCTAAAGACAATCCCATATTTCCCTGCACATTCAGAATAACAGCAGTTGTTCTATTTTTAACCCATCACAAAGTAACCAAGAGCAAGTTCAATCTTATGAGAGCCTAAGCTATCCCTACATATCATTTATCTCAAGGCTCAAATGATAACTTTCATAAAAGGCAAGTTTTTCTGATCCTTCATGAACCACATTATGTTTCATATTAAATCATCTCTGAGCTTCTTAGCACAACATTCTTATGTGAAATCCTACACAACTATCTGGATTTCTCTTATGACATTTCTCATACTCTACCTTTCCTATTTCTGCTACTAGAAATTAATTCCTTAAAGTAAATGGCTGCATCTTTACACAGGTCCAGAACCTGATCAGTTCAAAGCATTTACCAAGTATTTAACATACTAGTGGATATTATTTTGGGTTTCTACGAACTCCACAGCCTATACAAAATGCTATATAAAATGTGGTTTATTGAGTAACATTTATAAGAAAGTGTTGATTTGTTTTGCTTTTGTCTTTTTTTGAGATAGGATCTTGCTATTTATTTCAGGGTGGCCTTGGGCTCACTTAGTAGTTGCAACGATCCGCCTCCCAAGTGCTGGGATGATAGGAGCGTGCCACCACACCCGGTTATAATAAAGTTTTAAATATAAATCAGTGGAATTATATATTCCTTTGCTATAGCTAAATATCTCGTAAAATTTACTAATTTCGATCTGGCTATTACAAAAACTTAAATGAATAAATTTTTTCATTAGGTCTAATCTGTTATAGACATTTTTTAGGACATGCTAGCATATTAGCTGTTAAACAGAAATAAGTATGGAATGGTGGTGCACTTCTGTGATCCTAGCACATGGCAGGCTGAGGCAGGAGGATTGCTCTAAGTTCAAGGCCACCCTGGGCTGTATAGTGAGTTCAAGGCCAGCCTGAACTACATAGTAAGAACCTGTCTCACAAAATTAAAACAGGGGGCTGGGGATTTAGCTCAGCGGCATAAGCGCCTGCCTTGCAAGCAGGCAGACGTGAGTTCGATCCCTGGTACCAATAAAAAGGAAAAAGACAAAAAAAAATTATAACAAAAGAGCCAGGCATGGTGGCACACGCCTGTAATCCCAACACTCGGGAGGCTGGGGCAGGAGAATCATTGCGAGTTCGAGACCAGTGTGGGCTAAAAGTGAGCTAAATGCCAGCCTGAATTGCATAGTGAGACCATGTCTCAAAAAGACCAAAAACGAAACAAAACAAAACAAAACAAAACCCCACAGAAATAATAATGTTCAACCACTGGAAATACTTTTGTTGTTTTCCAACATATAGAAGAAAAAGCAACTGAAAATGTAAGTTTTTTTATATTTATATATGTGAAAGAATGTTTTTTATTTAAACACAGGTTTGTTCTAAAATACTGATATAATTGATTAAAAAGGTAATCAATCATGTAACAGTGTTCAGTTACCATCTTCAACTTACTTTAGAACAAAATCACTAAAAATAAACTTTCAGATTACCAAAAGTAACTATATACAGACAGTTTTAACTCAGAAGGCTAAGACAGGAAGATTGCCACGAGTTTGAGGTCGGCCTGGATTCCAGAGAGCTTGGAGCAAGCTCTTGTTTCAAAAAACCCAAATCAAACCAAAAAGTGAGTTACAATTTATACCTAAAGCATTCAACTTGGAATCTCCCTTTGGAAATTCGAAAGATCTTGGATGAACAGATAAATGTGACAGGGGACGTGGGGTTTGGGGTATAGCTCAGTAGTAGAGCATTTAACTAGCACAAGTAACACTTTGGATTAGATCCCTAGCATGCACATATGCATGCACGCACGGGCACATGCACACACACACACACACACACACACACACACACGGCCTGGAGGTAATTTTCCATGCAGAATGTAATAGTAGTCTCCACACACTAAAAAGCTTATCACTTAGAAGCCTGTTTCCTATAACACTGTAAAAGTAGTACATAGATATGGGTTTAATTTAAGAGAATTTTCTAAAAAAGATGTCATCAACAATAGAATAAGTTGTCTTTTGAGGTGGTATGTCTTTTGTTTTGTTTTCTGAGACAGGATTTCACTCTGTAGTTGACTGGTCTTGAACTCACTATGCAGTCCAGGCTGGCCTTGAACTTGAGGCTATTCTCCTGCCTCAGCTTCCTGAGTGCTGGGATTACAAACTGCCACCATGCCCAGTTTGAGGTGGTAGATTCTTTCACTGACCATGCTTAGTCTAGAGTTTGTTATCCATAGGACAGACTGTTAAAGGAACATGTTGATGGGAAAGATATAAGATGTCATAATATGTAGGATCTTTTGCAATTTTAGGCTATTTATTTATTTATTTTGGTACCAGGGAATGAACTCATGATCTTGTGCTTGCCAGGCAAGTGCTTAAACCACTGAGCTAAATCCCTGGCCCTAAATTTAGGCTAGCTATAAACTGAGATTAGTTTAAAATTTCTTTTTAAGACAGGGCCTTGGGGCAACCCACGTGGGACCCCTTCTATCTCCCAGACAGAAGCTTTCTCTCAATAAATATATTCTGCTCAAAAACAAAACCACAGGGCCTTGTTACATAATGTAGGCTGGCCTCAAACTCAGCACTACTTTCCTGCCTTAGCCTCCCAAGTGCTGGAATTACAGGTGTGCAACACTAGGCCTGGCAATTTTTAATAAACAGTATTCATCTATTTAAGGAAACAAACTTTTTTTCAAAACAAAAAAAATTCTATCCAGATTTTAAGAACTAAAAAAACTTTCAGAAAAAAGGAAGTGGAAATCACAAACAAGTATTTCTTCCATGTTTTAAGTATATACTAAAGACAGTACACTAAGAACTCACAACTAATAGCACTTTACCAAAGCTTTACTTTCAAAACTTACCAGAATTTTGCTGGATTCCCCACCGTACTCTCATCCTGAACTGCCGAGCACTACTTTGCTGGAGTCTTCTATTTAGTCTTGGAAAATTGTGCTTCTTTCCTTCCTTCCGATTCAACTTGATAATATCATCTACAACAGAGAGAAAGCTGTAATTATTTTCATTTTAACTTAATGGCTGGGCATGGGGCACATACCTGTAATTCCACCACTCACGGTCTAGAAGGATTACCAGGAGTTCAAGGTCAGCCAGGGCTACACAGTGAGTTAAAGGCCATTCTGAATTACAGTTCTTTGTCTTGAAAAACAATTTCTTTTTCAATTTAATGACTCGGTTACTTGGCTCATTTTCTAGTTAAGAAATTACCTATGTCCCCAATTTCTTTCCTACTTTGAAAACACTTTCTTAAGAGGATACTAATAATATGAAGATAATCTGCCGTTTTTCCTGGTGTTTCGAAGGAAGTTTTTATAGGAAAAGTTCAGATCAATAACCCAAAGTATGCCAGGTATGGTGGCACACACCTGTAATACCAGCACTTGGGAGGCTAAGGCAGGATTGCTGTTAGTTCAAGGCCAGTTTGGATTACATAGTGAATTCTAAGCTAGCCTGAAATACATAGAGAGGCCCTGCCTCAAAAACAAAACAAAACAACCAACCAAAGAAGATCTGCTTTTTTTTGGGTTAATAATTAACAAGGTACTGTTTCTTTAAAACAAAGTTATTGTTGGAAGTTTTTTATTTCAAATAAACCATTTAGTACATTTTAAAAAAATAACAAAACAGATCTACTAAATACCAACTAATGTAGAATTTTATTATCTATAGTACTTCTTTCCTTAGTGAAAAAAAATTTTTTTGGCCTCATTTCTCTCAAGTGCTGGGATTACAAGTGTAAGCCACCACACCCAGCTTCTTATAATTAAAAAATTAACCACACTACACTTATTTTCCATGTTCACAGAAGTCTCCTTTTTAAAAAAGATGACTACCTTTTAGTAAAGTCACAGGCAGTCAAAAAATAAGTAAATAATTCAATTAAATACCAAATTTCTAAATTCACTGAATTGAGATTCAGCAAATATTTATTGAGTGTATACTTTTGTGCAGTGAATGTATGCATAAGACTGTGCTGTAAGGAAACAAAGTATAATACAGTCCCTGCTTTTAGTAAGTTTAAAATTACTGATGAAAAATATGCAAACAGCAAATACATAATTTTAAAAATGACATAATAAAGATGGTATAAAAATATTACTGGTTTTCCTTCTCTAGTAAAGTCATTCAAGGTTACCCCATTTTCTTTCTTTTTTTTTTTGTCTTTTTCGTTTTTTATCGGCACCAGGGACCGAACTCACAACTGCCTGCTTGCAAGGCAGGCGCTTATGCCGCTGAGCTAAATCCCCAGTCCCTACCCCATTTTCTTTTCATACTGACATAGAGTTCTTTAAGTCTCGTTACATCCAAAAATGTTTTCAAACTGTCCCTGTATAGTTCATGAAGATTACAATGTGCCAATACCACAAGAGAACAACGTAAAGATCAGAAAACTAAATGTACTCTGGATTCCAACTCATATATATGGTTAGTAGAAGCCAACAATACTTATTAAAGAGATACTGGAGCTGGAGTTTTAGCTCAGTGGCACAAGTGCCTGCCCGGCAAGTATGAGGTCATGAGTTTGATCCCTGGTACCAAAAATAAAAGAAAAATATATCCATTTTTCACAATCCCCCAGTAACTCTTTTGATTGATAAAGCAAATAAACCAAAAGAAAATGCACATAAGGGCCAGGGATTTAGTTCAGTGGCACAAGTGAGTGCCTGCCTGGCAAGCCCGAGGTTGTGAGTCCCATCCCTGGTACCAAAAAAAAGAAAGAAAGAAAGAAAAGAAAAGCAAATGCACATAATTGAACAACTTCCTAAAAATACTTAACAAAATTAAAATGAATGTGGTGAGCCACACCTGTAATTCTAGCACTCTTGGGAGGCTGGAAGAGAAGATTTAAAGTTCAAGACCAGCCTGGGCAACTTTAACTCAGTAAGACCCTGTCTGAAAATTTTAAAAAATGGAAGGCTGAGGCAGGAGTATCGCCATGTGTTCCAATGTCAGCCTGGGTTACACAATGAGTTCAAGGACAGCCTGAACTATAAGACCCAGTCAAGAAAACAAAACCAGGCCCAGAGTGATGGCATATTCCTGTAACCCCAGCACTGGGGAGGCTAAGGCAGAAATGCTGTAAGTTTGAGATCCTCTTGGGCTACACAGTGTGTTCAAAGCCAGCTTGAACTATCTAGAGACACCCTATCTCAAACAAAACAAAACAACCAAAAATTTTAAAAAGGCTAGTTCTATAATTCAGTGTGAAGACTCTGGTTCAATTCAGAGGATCAAAAAACAAAACAAAACAAAACAAAAACCTAGGGGCTGGAGATTTAGTTCAGCGGCATAAGCACCTGCCTTGTAAGCAGGCTGTCATGAGTTCGATCCCCAGTAACAATAAAGAGGAAAAAGACAAAAAAAAAAAAAACAAAAAAAAAACAAAAAAAAACCCTAACAAAACTAATTAACCTAACCTTATTTTATTTATTTTTTGTGTGTGAGGGTCTTATATACTCCAGGCTGATCTTGAGTTCACAATTCTGCTTCGGCTTCTGGAGTACTACAAACAACAGAATGTAAGATTATTTCATATATAATAATTTTCAAGAAATATTTATATAAAATACTCAATCCTCTTCAGAGTACTTTGTTGTCTTTTTTTTTGAGACAGGAACTCATTGTGTAGTTCAGGTTGGTCTTGAGTTCACTACATAGCCCAGGCTGGCCTTGAATTCACATCAATCCTCCTGCCTTAGCCTCCTGAGTGCTAGGATTACACGTATGCATCACCAGGTCTGATGTTGTTTTCAAAACAATCTCCAAATGCAAAAAAACTCACTAAAGTTAAAGACAATCAGAGCTGAAAGCACATGATTAGCATCAGGTAGGTTCAGGGTTATATCCCCAGAACCACCAAAAATAAATAAATAAATAAATAAATAAATAAATAAAGGAAACTTAACTTAGTGCTGGGAGTATAGTTAGCGATAGAGTGCTAGAATTTGCTTAGCAAGTACCAGCCTCTGGATTTCAACTCCCAGGGTCACAAAAAAATAAAAATAAAAAATAAATAAAAACAGAGACACTATAAAGCTTTTTTTCTTTCAAAAAAAGGATTTCATACACAAAAAAAGTTCACAAGTATCTGTCATATGAACATGTTAAATTCTCAAGAGAACAGTTTGGAAGTCAATATTTATAAACTACTATTTTCCTTTAAGAATTTGCTACATGGGGCTGGGGATTTAGCTCAGCGGCATAAGTGCCTGCCTTGCAAGCAGGCAGTCCTGAGTTTGATCCCCGGTACCGATAAAAAGGAAAAAGACAAAAAAAAAAAAAAAAAAAAAAAAAGAACTTCAATCCCCGGTACCAATAAAAATGAAAAAGACAAAAAAAAAAAAAAAAAAAAAAAGTGTGTGTGTGTGCACATGCATGTGTATACATCTCTAAAAATTTAAAGTAGCAAGGCATATTAAATATAAACATTTTTACACTTAAAAACGTCAATATCCTCAAATAAGTTAAATTGGCCACTGTGGCAGAAAGACTTCCAACCATAAAAAAAGAAAATACAGTAGCTGTGTTTTACCCAAGCAATAGATGGAAGTTGGGGGATCTTTTCCATAGCATTATATACATGATAATAATAATAGTGAGTGAATGCTAACATTGTTCTGATGTATATTCAATTAATTCTCACAAAAATTGCATGATATAAATATAGTATTTTCAAATTAAGAAACTGAGCCACGATAAGGTCAGCTAACAGTAAACAGCAGAAATTTCACAGGAATATTTATATAAACCTGGTAGAGCTATGGCTAAAAAACAAGACCTAGAAAATCAGATTCTAAAACCTCTGCAAACGTGGAAGGATGAAATATTCACATACCACAACAATTGTTGTCCAGAAAATTATCATCTCTGCTTATCCCACCTCTGTAAGATTCTTATAAGAGAAAGGCACCTAATAGACTCTTCTTAGGGACAGAAAGAGACCAGCATCTATTTATACCACAACACCTCATTTCTACCTTGATGTGAATCTCTCAGTTTTCTTCAACATCTCAATGAACAAAATGCATACAAAGCAAACCAAAAAATTTTATAAACTTAAATATATCCATTATGAAAATGTACGTTTAGCTGAGGATTTAGCTCAGTGGCACAAGCACTTGCCTGACAAGTGCGAGGTCATGAGTTCAATCCCCAGTACCAAAAAAAAAAAAAAAAAGTTTAAAATTTTCTTACACTGATAGTATGGGGCTCTAGAGCAGACTGAAATCCTGGCTTCATGACTAACAGGGGTCTCTTTAAGTCACTAAGCTGCCCAGGCTATCCTCTTGCCTCAACCTCTTTAAGCGCTAGGATTCATAGATGTGTGCCTCCATGACTGACTGGCTGTATCACTTTGAGCAAGCTAATTTATGCTTCAGGTTTCTGTCAAACGGGATTAACAACAATGGCATATAATTGTGTGTGTGTGTATAACTAAAAAATAGTGCTTACCATGTTCCTGATGTTGTTCTACGCTGTTGCCACAAGTTTACTGACTCTAATACAGCAAACACTACTCTTATGACCTCTTTACAAGAGGCACTGGCAAAGCAATTTACCAAGGTCACATGGTTAGTAAGTGACAGCGCAGGATTGCCATAAGACACTGTGTCTCTGGATTCCATCTGTTTATCACTAGAAGCACAATCCTCACAGGGTTGTGAGGACAGTTAACACATACAAAATGCCCAGTCCAGTAGTAAGCACTCAATAAATACCCACTTTTATACGACTTGGGCTTTTATTCAAAAGATTATTACTGACCAGCAGTAAGGGAAGACTTGCAGCCAAACTATTATTGCTGATAATTCAGGTAACATGGTAAGTCCTCACTTGGCAGCAATCCTAGAAACTAAGTGTTCTGACTTTATATATATATATTTGGCCTTTTTCCTTTTCATTGGTAGTGGGGATCGAACTCACGACTGCCTGCTTGCAAGGCAGGCGCTTATGCCGCTGAGCTAAATCTCCAGCCCCTCTGACTTTCAACCATAAACTCTAGATAAGCCAAAACAAAAAAGAGAAACAAAACAAATGGAAATTAGTAACAACCAAGTTGGTTGTCACTAAATGGAATAAATGGAAATTAATAACTTCCAGCCTGGGCATTATCCTAAAAACTGACCTTAAAATCCAGTTATTTATTTTTCAAGTAGCTGAAAAGAGCAGAGATTTCTATATCTAATACCATAACTTGAATCCCAATAAAAATCGGAATAACTTTTAGATTTGCTAGGCCAAACCCTGCGACCGGCGAGTCGAGGGCATCAGGTCTCAACGTTTCAAGGGACTCGCAATCCTCCTCCACCTTTTTATGTAACCATTACCAAACGGAACCACGCCACCTTTCTATTAAGTGTTGGACCTACAGACTTTTTCTGGCTTCCCAGCAATCCATGTAAAATCTTTCCCTCGGTTTTACTAATGGCTCCCCCCACCCCCTTAATTAGCTAACTATGCTGACAGAACTGTGCCTCTGTAGCCACCTAATGCAGCACATCTGAGCCAGGCGTGGTGGCTCAAGTCTGGAAAGCCAGCACTCCGGGAGGCTGAAGTGGGAGGATCGCAATGCGCGCCCAGGAACTCTAGTAGTGTCTAAAAATTTTCAAAAAAAAAAGTAGAAAGGGTCGTGGTCAGAGCTCCATGCAGAGACCCCGCGTTCAATCCCAGTGCTATTTTAAAAAACAAATCCAAAAACAAAACCCCACTTCTAAAGATGCCGTTCCTCTTCTTTCTGTCGGGCGGGCCAAGTCGCGCCTGCACAGGCCCGGGCTCCGTACCCGGGTTTTTCACCAGTCGCAGACTCGGTCCGGCTCTGGTCTTTCCGCGACCTCTCTACGGAGAGACTGGCCAAGCGGACCTCTTCCCTCACTCCTGAGAACGCCCACGGCGGTTCCCGGCAAAACACGCCGAGTCTTCGTCACAAAGAGCCAGGTGGGAAAGAGCGACGCGCACCTCTCAACAAGAGCCCGGCTCGTAGCGCCCCGCTTCGGTACCCCTTCTCAGGCACAGCCTCAGCCGAGAGGTGCGGAGTCCGCGTCCCGGCCCCGCCCACCCGCAACGAGCTCCTCGGGCCCAGCGGCTAACGTCGCCAGCTCCGCGGACCGCGCGCTGGCCCCTCCCCTCCCCCACCGGCCCGCTCCGCCTCAGCCCCTCACCTAGAGACATATCGATTTTGTCGAGATTTTCATTGCTGCGGGCTTTCGGGGGCGGCGACGGGGTCGCCGTGGCCCCTACCAACCGGGCACTAAACCGGTTCATGGCACCGAGACGTAGCACTAAACGGTCAGCCGATAAGGCCGGAGTCGCAGGCCCGCCGCCTCCCACTCACGCACGCAGACTGGCCGCACAGCGGGTGCGCGCACGCGCGTTGGCGGCGTCCTTGCGTTCTGTTCCGCGGCCGCAGGCTGAGGAGGGGCTACCGAGACGAGCTGCGGGCCAGAGTGGCCGGCGCCGGCGTTCGTGCCCGGCCCTCGTTGGTCGGGAGACAGCTGGAATCGTGGCTTCCGCGAGGGTCGCTGTCTCAACTGTTGGACTTCGACCCCAGTTGAGGAACGCCAGACTTTATCCATCTCCAAAGCATGACTGAAATGATATCATAATTCTGAGGGTCCCTTCTGAAGCAGAAAGGCCCCCAGTTCTTTCGTGCACGCGCACCTCGCATACGCTGCTGCAATGCAGCCGCGGACCCCCGCCAGCTCACGTTGCAGCTCTGTGTCCCAGCTCCCCTTTCCCAGCCGCACTCCTCCACCTGCAGCGTCCAAACGCAGGGGCCATAGTGACCGTTCTTGGGTCTCTTTAAAAATCAAACTACATGGTAACGTTTGCTGTGTCCACATCACCTTGCAATCTGCTCTCTCAAAACACTGCGCTCAGTCCTAACTACCGTAGTAGGACCTCATCTTTCCTTTGGAAGGTAAGTACCTTTGCGTATGTAGCTGCGTTTTTCTCTAATTTCATTTGCGTTTGGGAACGGATAAGAGGATTCGGGTCTTTTCTCCTATCCTTATATGAACACGTATTAATATTTGATAGACTCCTATTTAATAACTACTGCCTTCCCCATTTACAAAGTGCGATCTTCTCAGCTCATTCTCCCACAAAGTGCTTGAGTAGAAGCACTTAGGTTATTTCTTTTTTCTTTTCTGGCCTTGAAACAGGGTCTCCTTATGCAGTTAAGGCTGATCTTGAGCTCATTTTGTGACCCAGGCTGGTCTCGAACTTGCAGCAATCTTTCTGCCTCAGCCTCCCTTAGCATCCCGAGTGCTGGGATTACAGGTGTGTGCCACTACTCCCCACTGTCTTGCTCTTTTTACAATTTAAAACTAAAACATTTGATTCTAAGGAAGAAAACAAGGACTTGTATTCTATCCATCTGTATATCTGGCACAGAAATGAAGCAGAGCTTTTTGGTGGCCTAATGCATCTCCAAATCACAGCAGCCAAAGCTTAATTTAGTAATGTCAAAATGTTATGTAGTTTCTAACTTCAGAGACACTTTTTGCTATTTTTGCTTGGGATTCTCGTGTCTTAAAATACTTCATATTATGCAAATTGTATTTGTTAATAGCCTTTGTCCAACTTTTATTAACAAAAACTTATCTCCCTTTTTTGTGTTTGAATTCAGTGCAAAGGTTGTACTGACAATTTTGGGGGTCACCTTCACAATAAAACTACAATGCAGGTGTGGTGGAGCACACCTGTAATTCCAGCATTTGGGAGACTGAGGCAAGAGGATTTTTGCATGTTTGAGACCAGGCTGGGCTACAAAGTGAGCTCAAGGCCAACCTGAACTGCTTAGTGAGACCCTGCCTCAAAACAAAACAAAACAACCAATAAACCTACAAGTGCATGTTTTCCATATCTGTAGCACGTGTAAAACCCAGAGCCACCCAACTGAGTTATGTTACCAGCTAAAGAAAGAACCATGATTTCTTTTTATTCTTATCTTTTAGACATGTATGATTTTATTAGGCTTTTGGAAATATTATAAGTAACCTCCTTATTCTCTAAGGTCAAGTTGGTAGGTATTCTTCCCCATGATAAAAATATAACTACATAGAAAGGGTGGATCAAGTAGTACAGAAAACTTGAATGGTGGAGGAAAATTTGAACTGAGATAGACCCAAAAACAATAGTTGGCATGTGAAGGAGAAACCATGCATGTCCTTGGCACAAGATGCTTTATTTTATTATTTTACCCGGAGGCTTCCACCCTTCTCTGGACTACTAACAACTAGGGAAACTGGGTTATAAAGATAAAAATCAGTAGGAGTCCTGATGGCACCTTTTTCACTTGTTTTAGTCATTCACCGGTTGATTCTGGGAGACTCTCTAGGCCTTACACTCATTTTTAAAATAAAAAAGTACTAACACTAAGTATATAGGTTGTTCTAAGTTATCTCTAAGATTCCTTGTAGCTCTGAAATCTCCTGTGCACCAGACATTTTTGTGGACATTAATCTCTCACTAAAAGTAACTTCTCCAACTGCTGTTCATTTGTAAGAGTAAATCTCAGAGAGAAATTTTAGGTTAGGACCCTCATTTTATGTAAGAAAATTATGTATAGTATTTAGAGTTTGTAAGCACCTTGTACATCAGGTTTTTATAGGGCAGGTAACAAAAACGCAAAATGCCTAGAATCTTCCCTGTCATAAACATAATAAAGATGATCTCTTATCCTGGTCTTCTTTCCAAAAGTGAAGCCCTATCTCCTAGATCAGTGATGGTGAACCTTTTAGAGACTGAATGCCCCAAATGCAACCCAAAACCCATTTATTTATCCCAGTACTAACACTACAATTAAACCTGAATACTGAGAAAAAAACAACTCATACATTACCTGCTAACTCCTTAGTTTTAAAGGGACATGCCCCAGTATTTCATTAAGTAATCCTTCCTGTTGTGTTTTGGAGTTTCAAGTTTCCTCTAGGATGGAGGATCTCAGCGTAATCTCCTAGATTCCAAAGGGAAAAGCAAGAAAGTGTGAGGTAGTATGGACAACAATAGGTCCATAGATTGTCTCACACACAAAACAAAATAACAACCTGAGAACCATACAGCAAAAACAAAGAGGAAGACAAGCCAAGAATTCAGAATTGGAACCTTTCCAAGAAATCGACCTGTCAGCAGCTATAAAGGTGGAGTTAAAAGATCAACTCTGAAATTTTCTGGGACATGAGAGTCAGGTCTTCACATAATCATGTATTCACTGTGCATCAGGTATTGTAACAGGCACCAGGGATGGAACAGTAAAGAAGGTAGATGCAGCCCCTATTTCCATGTGGCATCCAGAGCAAAATGTATTTCCTGAGTGCCCACTATGAGTAGAGCCACTGTAAGGGACACTGAGCAGACAGCCTTTGCCATGAGTATAGCAATTCAACAGCTGCATCTAAATCAGAATAAACAGAATCCAAGCAACATCCCTTTTTAGAGGGTTGATTTCATAGAATATAGGAAAGACACACTATGGTGTAGCTAGAGAAAATAAAGAGCCAGTGAAATTTGGATTTCAGGTAAACAACAAACAATTGTTTTGTGCATGTAACAAGTTTCAAATAACAATTTAAAAAATGTAGCATGTTTCTTGTAACATTTAGAAATTACTAGCATACTAAATATTCATTTATTTGAAATTCAAATTTAATTAGGAGTCATATTTTTTATATAAATCTGGCAACCTTAACAACGCCATACTTTCCTATAACACTTCCTGACTCTTCACAATGGGCAGAAATCTACATTCTCTTTAAAGGTAAGCACAGTTCTTTTTTTTTTTTTTTTTTTTTTTCCTTTTTGTCTTTTTGAGACAGGGTCTCGCTATGCAGTTCAGGCTGGTCTCGAACTCACTATGTAGCCTATGCTAGTTTGAAACTTGCAGAGATCTTCCTGTCTCGGCCTCTCAAGTGCTGAGATTACAGGTGTGCACCACCACGCCTGGATTTTTGTTGTAATTTCAGTCTTCTTCTCGTAGCCACTGCTCTGGTTTAGAACTGGGCTTGCAAACTAGCAACCCAGTGACCACCTTATGCTTATAGACTTTGGTCTGCAGCAGAATGCACACACCATCGTTCCCCATCCTTTCCCAGTTTTGCTTACTACCCAAAACCAGTAGTTCCCAAATGAGCACACTTCCTTGTTTGCCTGAACTGTTTTCCTCTGCTTTTCCCTTTCCCTCATTAATTTGTACTTATCCTTAAAAACTCTACTCTGACACTAATCCCCTAGGAAACCTTTCCCTTATGATGTGGTCTTGGGGATGGAACCCAGGGCCTTCATACTAAGCCACATCTCCATCCCTTTTTATTTTTTACTTTAAGAAAGGTCTTCCTAAATCACTAAGCTGCCCAGGTTTCTATCGAACTTGCCATCCTCCTTTAATATCCCAGAATTCCTGGAGTATGGACTTTAGCCACCACGCCTTGGCTATTTGGCTCATCTTTTGTGATCCCAAAGCAGTTTAGGCCCTTCAGAATTTGTGAGTTCTTCATTTAAATTCCTGAGTTTCCAAATACCATCAACAGGTGTTAAACTAGGGCTGGGATGAAGCGGGGCTAATCGGAATTGTATTAGACCAGCATTATTTCCTAGTTTACACCTCTGGATCTAGTTCTCAAGGGAAGTGTGCCAAAGATCCTACAGGAGCCGTACAGACACGGATTTCTGCCTGCTAGCGACCAACGTTCTCTGCTGGGCACAAACCCTCCATGCACGCCCCTGAGGCCCGCGGTCTCCCGCGAACGTGGGCTCTGATTGGTTGTAGCGGTGCATGCCGGTCCCAAAGGCTTTTTGGGAGTTGTAGTTCTAGGAGCCGGAAGTGGGGGTGGCAGGGATAGAAACCTCGGTAGAGGCTGCTGACGACCGGGTGTAGCACATCCCTTAGAGCCCACTAACCCTGGGTGCGGTCTCTGTTTCCAAGGGGCTCAGAAGGCCCTGGCTGGCGAAGCGATAGGGTCGCCTCTCCTCAGTCGGAAGCGGCCTCACAGCATCAAATGCGGCCGGAGGGCGCGGGAATGGATCTGGGCGGCTGCGAAGAGCGCCTGCCGGAGGAGAGCAGGTGGGCAGCGAAAGCGCGGGGATCGCGGCAGCGGGGAGCCCGGGAGGAGGGGAGAATCGTCAGAAGCGACGAGCTGAGGACGGCTGCTGCGGGGTACTTGTTGGAGAAGAATTCTGAGAGGAGGGGCTGGCAGGGCGTGGAGAGGTTTGTGCTAGGAAAGGCCAGGCATAAGGGGCAGGATTCATGGAGGGCAAGGGAACAGGAAAGGGTGACATTCAGATCCTAGACTGCTGAGAAGGACGCAGATATTCAGGGTTCCGTGGTGAGATTCTTAGGGGCCGGAGCCCATAGGCAGAAACTGGAGACAGGGCTAGTGCCCTGGCTGCAACTTGCAGCCACAGCCAGCTGGGCCAATGTGAAGAGGTTGCTGTTGTAAGGATTTCTAGGAGCAAAGGTGAGCTTAGTGGTTTAGGAAGAAGGACGAGCGTGGGGAAGGAGGCAAGGAAGGCCTGTGAATGAAAAGCGAGTTTGCATTGACAGTTCGCACAGAAAACTGCGTGCCTTTTGTCAATGCTGAGTCCCTGTTACGGTGACATGTTCTTTCTGTCATTTCCTTCTCATCTTAAGACCTTTCACTGCTTCCCTACAATGCAGACTAAGCAAGTTCACATTTATATGGAACTATAGTCAGAAAGTAATATTTATATGGAACTGTTGTCAGAAAGTGAATCTTTTAGAAATCTAGGGCTCAGTGTGTGTGTGTGTGTGTGTGTGTGTGTGTGTGTTGTTGTTGAGGATTTGCAGGCTTTGCATGTGCTAGCAAATGCTGTGCCACCGATGATTTAAGATTTTAAAAGCTACTATGACTAAATGATCAACTGGAGTCTGTTTAGAGTTTGTTTATTAGTAACTGGTCT